ATTGTATCTGGTCTACATGAGGCTGTTGTATAGTTGATATAAGTTGTATTATTCCTATGATTCATTATACTACATTGTAGACCCTTGTTTGGTATGCTTGTGACTCTACTTTGTTATGCCAAAGCCAAACACACAAAAATTGTATCTGTTTATGTGTGTGAAGGGTAGAGAAGAGATATCAAATTTATGTCTGAAATATATGCAGTTATTTTTCTCTTTAATATCTAATCTCTCCTTCTTCCTACTTAGAAGATCCAGAGATCTGAAACATACTGCTGGATTCAGAATCTGGGTGGAACTTTGAGTTGTTTCCCCTGGAGAGGGGTTAAATTTTTCTGTATTGGAAAAAGGGGTTCTCATGAGAACTTAGCTCTCACAGTGGTTGACTCATGACACATGCCGCTCTCGTTCCCCCACATCCATTCTGTCATTCTGTCTTTTACGAATAGAGCCCCCATCCCTGTCCAATTTTGACTGTCCTAAGCGACCACATGTTTTTCATATTCCCTTGTAATGAGGTGTGGCCACGTGATTGGCCCTTGGGATATGAGCGTATGTGATACTTAAAGTTCATACACTTAAAGTTGATACTGCTTGCCCTCCACTTGCTTTTCCCCTTTTCCCACAGTATGGAACAGGGACAGACTGGTGACTGTTGATCGTGAGAGCTAGGAAAACACCTTGGTGGTGGATCAACAAAATGAATAGAACCTGGTTACCTGAGACACTGTGTGATGTGGGGCTGTATGTCCATCCTGGACTGAGATGTTAGAGAAAAGGAATGACCAAGTAAGGTCCCACTGGATTGACTTCATCTCATATAACTACTTTAAACTCAGAGGAAAATCCAAAAACATCCACCTAAAGATACTGAGTGGAACCAAGAGCAGGCAGATTCTGGATCGAAGACAACCCTTGGCAGAGAGGAGTGGCACTCGAGGGGTATCTAATTTTCAAGATACATTGCTTGAGAAAGGCCCAAATCTCTAGCTGAATCATTAGCCACACATCTGTGAGGAAGAATCCAAGAACAAAAGGACTAAACTGGTATTTAAGGTGCTGCCCAACAGAAAGTGGATCAAATCTAATTGCCTGCTTAACAACCACCACCCAAACAAACACCACCTCCAGAGATACATCACAGATTTGAAACAGGGGATATATAACACAACATATCCAATATCCAGGATACACTTCAAAATTACCTGACCTACAACGAAATACAAAAAATATGACCTAGTCTCAAAACGAACAGTGGAGGTCAACTCTAAGATCCTATTCTAACGTCTGGAAGTGGCAAAGACAGTACAATGGCTCTTATAACTATGCACAATGATCTAAAGAAAAGTACTCTCATAACAAATATAAAGATAGGAAATCCCAACAAGGAAATGGAAGCTATAAAATAACCAAAAGAGGGGCGCCTGAGTGGCTCAGTTGGTTAGGTGTCCGACTTTGGCTCAGGTCATGATCTCAGTTTGTGGATTCAGGCCCCACATCAGGCCCTGTGCTGACAGCTCAGAGCATGGAGCCTGCTTCGGATTCTGTGTCTTTCTCTCCCTCTGCCCCTCCCCCACTTGTGCTCGGTCTCTCTCTCAAAAATAAATATTAAAAAAAAAAATAACAAAAAGAGACTGTCCTTTGAAGACATAAACTGGCAGAATATGAGAAAGCTCATGAGAGGGCCAATAAATTGCATTATTTCATTGCATGTATGATAAGAAAAAGACGTCTGGAAGGTAATTAATGAATTGGATATTATTGATTGTCTCTGGGGATGGGACCTGGATTTCTAGGGTGGCAAGAATAGGAGGAAGACTTCTCATTATATAATCTTTTGTATTATTTTTGAGTTTTAACCATATAAATACAAAGACATAAAGTGGAAATAAAAAAAATCTAAGTTCAAGTGAGGGACCTGGGCATAGACAAAGGAAGATTCACTTTCACCGAAATGAGAGGCAAAAAACAAAGGGCAGTGTGAAGTAGAGACATGTGTAAATTGGAGGGTAAAAGTACTGGAATTGGGTTTAGCTGCATATAAAATGCAAACCATCACTGCTTAGAAATACAACATCCGAGCTGGCAGTCCACACTTCGCGTGTTCAATTCTGCCACTTCCATCATAGGGCTTCTATCCTAAAGGTTACTTATGTCAGCACTTGGCTCCTTATACAGACTGTCTCCCATCTTTCCCCTGTTCTAATGTGATAAAAAGAGGGGATGGTGACAGGGAATAAGGGGGAGTTTCAGGGCCCCTCCCTTTAAGGTGCCTTCCTCCAAGTTGTACATAACACTTGTACTGGCCAGAAGTAGATCTGTGGCCACACCTAGCTGCGTAAGAGTCTGGAAATGTGGTTCTTATTCCAGATGGTCCAATTTCGTCAAGTTGGTTCTGTTACTAAGTAAGGAAAATGAGTATTTGGTGGCTGGATGGCATTCTCTGCCTCAGGGAGCAAGTTGAGGGAATTTCGACCTAATAGCTTCTATCTTCTCTGAGGGTGGAGACGTAGTGATTTCCTGAGATGACAGAAATGGGTAGGTAGCTGGCTTGAGGAAAGTGGTGAAAGTTTGAAATAACTAACGTCAAGAGTAACAGAGAGAATGGAGGTGAAACATGAAGAAAAATATGCTTCAGGTGGGTTGGAAGTTACAAAGTTGTGCATCAATCTTCATGGTGGTGTGATTTTTTTCCCCCTGTAGCATTCAGCAGTCTGGGAGTAGCAGGACTGTGATGGAAGGGTGTATATAATAAAGTGGGGGTTTTTTTTTTTTAATGTTTTAAAGTTTATTTATTTATTTTGAGAGAGAGAGAGCACAAGC